AGGTGCCTGAGAACCCAGGCCCGACATTATAGGACACATTCAGATTTCCCTTCCAAGTCTCATCCGGAGCTTTGGACCCTCCCATGAACCTGTGTCAGTAAAATCCAAGCCAACAATATTTGTGAGGTCGTTTCACACAAACAGTTCCCACCCCTTTAATACACTGTTTCCTAAATTAGAAGTTGGGAAAGAGCCAACATTTCATTATGGGTTGCTTACAGGAAGCTTGCAATTAGATACAATTCCCTTTACTTCTGACATTCAGGTATGTCAGAGCACCAATTACGGCACTGCACCTGCACAAGAAAGTGGACTCAAGTAAGAAGGAAGCTCAAGGTTTGGAAAGTAGAAAACAATGTTTAGAGGGAGAAAAAGACCTAGAGAAAATGAAGACATCCCAATGGAATGAGAAGGGAGAGTGAACATAAAATGCTGACTGACTGATTTTGGGGCTTAGAATGGAAAAACAATTAATCGACCATGAATGGTACACCATTCCTTACAAATCTCTCTTTGTTCATTGCACTCTCTTGACTTCATCAGGGCCACTTTGCAAAAGAGATGTCTTGCTTTTTAAACTGTATTTCCGCAAAGCGTGAGATTCTCCCTAAGATTGCAGACATTACTTCCTCACCATTCTAACCTCCATCTGTCTTCCCTGTCAGTGATTCAAGACAGTTTTGAAAAATTAAAACAGATATAGTAAAACATCATAGGAGAAATTAAAAATATAATGAAACTGTTGGAATTCAAGGCAGCTAACAACATGACCGATACAAAGAAAAACAACAAACATAGCTCACGGCAGAATTAATGCAGCTTGACACCACCAGCACTCTTTGGCAGAGAAGGTGATAGACCGAGCATGGGCAAACTTTGGCCCTCCAGGTGTTTTGGACTTCAACTCCCACAATTACTAACAGCCAGTAGGAACTGTGGGAGACCTTGTAAACTAAAATTTCCATAATTCCATCACATTGAATCATGATGCTCAAAGTGGTGTCAAACTGCATTAATTCTACAGTGTAGATACAGCCTATGAAAGCCTATGAAGGGGAAGGGTTTTGTGACTACAGAAGGATAGTAAACACAATGCAGTCTAACCTCTATTGGAAAAGAGTCCTAGATTTGGAAAACAGCCATCAAAAATGCCTCTCCTGTCTTCCTACCAAATGGACCTGTGATTGTGGTGGGACAGAGAGAAGAGCCTCCCCAGAAGATCTCAAAACACAGGCAGACCCATTTGGGAAGAGTACAATCCTTCTGATAACATGCATCAGAGCCATATACAATATATCTTTGTAGATAATAACTACCACTTCCCCAATGATAGTGGTGTTTTTCCTTCAAAAGGAACTGTAGGGGAACACCATCACATAATGAGTTTTATTTTTATTTTATTGGTCTTCAAGGAAGTTATGGGAAACCTTCAAGCTAGCGAACCAGGAGTTTCATGTTCTGCACCAGCAATTCTCTGCTGGTCTTGTATGTGTGGGTTTCATTAAGCGTGACTTAGGCCCCTGCCACACAGCTGAATAACATCCTAAATTTTTTGGCTTTGAACTGGGTTATATGGCAGTGTGGACTCAGATAGCTCGGTTCAAAGCAGATATTGTGGGGTTTTCTGCCTTGATATTCTGGGTTATTTGGCTGTGTGAAAGGGCCCTTACTGGCCTCAATTAGAACATCCCAAAACTCATTCTAGATTTATCCTCTAATGCAAATAACTGGCTTTAAAAACAGGCTAGTTTACTCTAAAATAATAATACAGATTGAGCATCCCTTATCTAAAATGCTTGAGACTAAAAGAGTTTTTGGTTCCAGATTTTTTGGGAATTTGGAATATTAGATTATGCACAACGAGATATGTTAAAAGATTGGGACATACAATTTTAATGATTTTTCACATGAGACACAGTTTGTGTCCCTTGAATCATGAGAAAGCAAAGGCATCAGTATCTCAACAATCTATGTGGATACTTGTGGATTTAGGAGCATTTTGGATATCACATTGCCAGATAAGTGATACTCATCTGTATAAGACAGCTCTGTTTTTGGCAAAGACAGCAAAATCTACATACTGTAATAGCATCTCGGCATCATTGTAACTGATGGGGTGAACTGGGATTTTGGGAATCCCTATTCCATCCTTCGTCTCATATCTGAAGGTGTATTCTGAGAAACCAAGATAAAGATGTTACAAAATTCTACAGGAGAAGAAAAGATATTAGAATCTACATTTTGGCTAAGGTGTTACTCTGGTTGTCAGTGAAGGAGACTTAGAGCAGTGGTATGGTCTCCAGGAATTTTGGACTTCAGCTTCCAGAATTCCTTACAATTCTCCAAGCTGGCATGGGCATCAGGAAGTGCATCAAAACTGTACAATTCATACATTAATTGTCATGGCTCAGTGTTATGGAGTCCTATGGATGTGTAGCTTGGATCTTAATGGAAGTTAATTTGTATATTTGAAATGGTACTTCTTGGTAATTACTGTCTTTTGTCCTTGGTCTCAACATGGCCAAAAAAGGGAGTAACCTCTTCCTATATTGATATCCTCATAAATCAGTGGTTCCCAACCTTTGGTCCATCAAGTCTTTTGGACTTCAACTCCTTGATGCCCATGCTAGCTTGAGAATTGTAAGGGATTCTGGAAGCTGAAGTCCAAAACTCCTGGAGAATATACACATCCCAGGACTTCATAGCACTGAGCCATGACAATTAATGTATGAATTGTACAGTTTTGATGCACCCTACAACTTCCAGAATCCCTAGTGTCCTGCAGACTGGGGATTATTGGAAACCTCAGGGCCTGGAATGATTCTGAACTGCCAACCCTACTCACCCACCTTTGGCTGGATAGCCTGGAGTGAGAGGATCTCCTGCCCCGTTGAGATTTAACACGTTCCCTCGTTGAACTCCTCCTCCGGGAAGATTCCACCCACCTGGGTAAGGCTTGACTCCGGGAGAGCAGTAATCCGCAGGGTCTGAGTAAAGGATAATCCCTTTAGCTCCTGCTAACATGGCATTTTTAACCTACAAAGCAGTCAAACATTAAGAAGCTGTTTTCAAAAAGTGTCTCATCATCATAACCCAAGAATGAGTAAACAGCACCTCATATTCCTGCCACTGCATGTTGAATAGAGCTGCTTGCTTCCAGAAGGGAAAAGCTATTAATTTAAGGCTTTGTTGATCAACACATCCTTTCCACAGGCAAAACACTTGACTTTAATTTTAGACACTCTTCTGCCAACCAATTTGCCAATCAATCCCTTGGATTTTTTCACCACATGGTCCCCATGCATCATTTAGTTAAAATCAAAAATGTGCATGCTAGGTTTTGAATGGTCTGAAGAAAAGCATAGCTCAAGTACTAGTCTGAAGATGCATTTCAGGGCAGTTCCAGACAGCACTAAATCGCACACTTTAGTCCGGGGCAAAAAAACAAAAATGGGACCCGAGAAGATGTCCAGATACAGACCTGTTGGTCTCAGGACTTCTGTCTCCATCATCCACATTTGCTGTTTTGTCATGCGATTTTGCAGCCCCCAAGATGGCTGCCATGGGACTTCCACTGGAAATGTTGGCAGTTTTTATTTTAAAAAAACTTATGATGCGAACATGCAAACCATTGTATAAGTTCAGTTCCTGGGTTATATAAGCTGCAGGGCCATCTGTGCAGACAGGGTGTTCTTCCTGGGTTATACATGTCTGTTCCTGATTGCTCTTATTGTGAAAAGATGTACAATGTTGGCTAGGGGCCACAACTTTGTCCTGGCCAGAAAAAATGTGCCTTCCAAGTTTCTGGCACACAAACAAAGTTTTTGCATTCTACTCAACTGTCACCTTCATTTTAGGAACTGGCCAAGCAAGAACAAACCCAGATAAAAAATCCTGTGATTTCCCAGTGCAGGGACATACAGATATTCCAAGATGCATTAATTATTCTTTTAGCAAAAATTATGGAGAATTAGGAAAGCCCAATGAAGAAAATGCTAGAAAGGAAAGAACCTTTGCTGTTTCAGGATTATGCATGAAAATACAGCATGTTCTGAGCAGAAAACAAGTTTCCATCTTTGGAAAATAGAATTCTGTTTTCTGCAGGAAACAACTGTTTTCTGTGTGGAGAAACTTGTTTTCTTCATAGAAAATATCATTTTCTGCCCCCAAAAAACCTTCATGTATTTTTTTGTACAGAATAAATCCTGAAACCTACACAACTTTCATCACTTGCCTTCAAGTTATTTGATCTCATCTCCAAGGAAATCATCAAGGCTTTACATACCTGTGTTGTTCTTGCTGTAATGACATTTTGACCAGAATCACACTCATACATGGCACACTCCAACCTCTTTCAACCTAGGACCCTCAGGAAATATGGGAACTATTATGGGATAGCTCTTAGATAGCTCCTGTAAAGTTTGGACTAAAAAAACCTGACAGAGATCCAACATTCTCTGTTACTTGGAAGCCACCTACTCAATTGGGTGGGGAAAGCAATAATAATGTTAAAAAGAAATTAACAACTTACTTTGTTTCCTCTGAATACTTTCCCATATCGGGCAATGACAATCTTTCCTGTACAGTTGATTCCCATCTGCCGCTCTAGTTTGAAAAAATCTTCAGTTCGGGCATAATTTGCGTACACCAGATCTGCCTTTTTCAGGGGTAGAAACAAAGAAAAATGCATGTGATGTTATTGTGAACTCATATAGTCTTGAAAACTGCTAACAACAACAACAATAACAGCAACAACAATGCTTTATTTATATTATTATTATTATTATT